AGGTCTCATGTATCCTGGTGTGGCCTTGAACTCACCAAGGATGAACTTGAACTTCTGGTCCTCCTGCCTCTACCACCCAAATTCTGAGATTACTAAAGACATGAGAGCCATGCCTTATTTATGTGGTACTGGGAATCAAACCCAGGGCTTCGGGCAAACACTCTTAACAAATGAGCTACATCCCCAGCCCCAAGTAGTCCATTTCTATGTGAGCTATACAGCTGGAATTGAGGGGAATTGGTGCTTGATGTCAGCAATTTGAGATACAAATTAGAGGCAAATCAGATAAAATTGCTGTTTCTAGATAATTCCTTGATGCCATTCTGTTGCTTAGTTCATTCCCTCCCATTCCTCCTTCGTCCTCACTTCCTGCACCTCTTTGCTTTCTTTTAAGGCCTGGCTAACATTCTGTCTGTTAAGAATTCACCTCTATGTGTGGAAATGCTGGACTTTCAGATTATTTAGGGATTATAGTCGTATTTGTTAATGACTGTTTATTTTCTGCTGTTTGTTTTTCTGTGGCATGTGGTTCAAGGCCAGGCATGTGGTTTACACCTTTAACCCCAGCTCTCAGGAGGCAGAGGCAGGTAGATCTCTGTAAATTCAAGGGCAGCCTGTTCTACATAGTGAGTTCCAGGTCAGACAAAGGTACATAATGAGACCCTGTCTCAAAAATTAATAGATTAATAAATAAATAGATAAAGTATAACCCAGTACCAAGTCAGATGAGCTCCTTTTTCTGTAAGTTACTCCAGGTGAAAAGAGAACAGGTTTGTATTTTCTCTACGGTTTGAGAAAACAGATGATTTTGTAAATTTGAAGGAATAATGTTGGGAAGCATGATCCCAGCACACAGGCTAACACTGTAAGACAGCTCAGTGTTTAGGCTTCTGCAACTTCAGTTCTTGTCACTGATTTTTACTCTGGTTTCTTTAATAGTTTACTGGTAAGCCCTTTGGTTGTGAAACACAGAGTACTGGTCCTTCTGTTGTTTGAGGTGCTGACTCTAAATGGTGAAATTGTTTGCATAATGGATTCATTGAAGAAGTTTGTACCCCTGCCGCAGGAGTGGCTGCAGTTTATAAATCAGGATCCTAGAAGGCAGTGCTTATGTGAGGTTTCCTTTAATCCTCCCAATTAGGCAGTTCAAAGAAGATTTTACACAGAATGCTTCTGTAGTGTTTATATGTGACTAGCATTTCAATTCTCATTTAAAGAGTTTATTACTTTATTTTTGAATGAAGAACTTACTTGCTTCCAAAATTATGTTTCCACATTTCTTTAAGAAATTTAAGAGCCTCTTAAGTATTTATAATTAAATGGATATATAGTTTTCCCAGGAAGTTTTTCATGAAATACTAGTGTTTCAAAATTTGATGAGAGGTGGAAAACTTTTTTTAGAATGTATAGTTGAACCTGCCAGTTTCAAATGTGTTATCTAAGTCTAGTTTCTCATATTTGGTAATTTTTGAGCTCACAACAATACAGAAAGCAGGTGGATTCTTCCAGGACACAGCAGTTTAGAACATCTTCCTATCATGGACATTATTATCACATCATCAAATCTCCATCATTCACTGAGCCCTTACAGTGAGAGAGGTACTACTAGACACTCTGTATGACTCCAACCCTTGAAAGTCACTGTTGGCTGTCTAGTTCTCACCAGCAGGAGATCCCTGTCACAGACCAGAGAGGTTATTTGACTTCTCCATGAACATACAACTAACTAACCCAAACTATTGTTGACTCTTGAGCCTTTGCGTGTTCCTGCTGTGTAGAATATCTGTGTGTTCTATGAGGCCAGAGGTCCATGTACTCATCACCTTAAACTTGTATTTAGAATGGTGCCTGGCACATAGTAGGTGATCTGCAGCACGTTTTTGTTGGGTAAATTTGCTTCTCATAGGACAGTAACCATAACAGTTCCTTTGCAGAGCTAACGCCACTTCATGAAATTGGCCCCTGTGAATGTAGTCCAGGAATCCCATCTTAGAACTCCAAATATATATTTCTGCAGAGAAATCTTGCTACTCAGCAGAGAGATACATGATTCTGCATACTTGGAGTTGCATGGGTTCTTTGTATACTGCTCTGTGAGCAGGATTGTTGCTCAGTAGAGTGGCTTATCTGTTTGGACAGCTTTCCAATGGGCTTTGGGAATAAAACCCCTTGATAGGCAAGTTGCAGGCTATAGCTGATTAGGGACATGATGAACTATCTCTTTAGGACTTAGGTTCTGTGATGACTGTTGGTTACAGCTTTTAAGAGCTGGGTCTTTGAAGCCTGAGACTGTAACTGCTCTGGGGAGCTGGAAGAGTGACCCCCAGTGCCCCACCTTCCCTTGTTTCCTTCCTGTCGTCTTCCTGGCACCTCTTGCAGCAGCTTTCGAAACTGGAGTGATGGCAGCATCACCCTCCCCACTTCAGACCAGTCTCTTGTTTTCCATGAAGAGCACACGGCTTAGAGAAGTTAAATGATTTCCTAACTTGTTACAGGTTACTAAATATGATTTTTCAGTGTCTAGTACTTTCCTGCTTTGTTACAAGTTGTTTCAGACTGTTGAAATTGAAGAATTACATAGCTTTAGCATTATGTCTTACCATACATTAAGTCTTGGAAAATAAAACTCCTTTATACAGTGTCTCAACAAACACTATGATTATATTAGCATATAACTTTGCCATATGAATAATTTTTACATTTTACTTAATCCCCATAACCCTAGGGGGGGTAGGAAGGACAGTATTATCACTATTCCTACATTAGAAATACAGTCTTAGGGGGCTGGAGAGACAGCTCAGCAGTTAAGAGCACTGGATGCTGTTGCAGAAGACCTGGGTTCAGTTCCCAGCACCCACATGGAGGCGAACAATTGTCTATAACTCCAGTTCCAGGGGATCTGATGCCCTCTTCTGTCCTCCGTGGGTACTCTATGATATGGGTGCACTTACACACCTGCAGGCATAACACTCATATATACATACATACATACATACATAAATAACATACATAAATAACCTTTTTTAGATCCTAAAAAATAGAAAAAGAAAAAGAAATATTTATTAATATTTAGTATAGGAGTCCTGTCCAGGGACCCACACCCTGCAGACTCTTTTTCCATATGCTTCAGCTCTCATTGATGAGAGCTGAGAAATGCAATTAGTATTCCCTCTATCTATTGTTCCACTATGTTCCATGAGCCTTAGATGTAGAGATTTCATTGTAGATGTGTCACTTAGGGTTGGGTATTTCACAGACACATTCTCTGTGTGTGTCCAGTTGTGGAACTCTGTAATAGTCTTCATCTGTTGCAAAAGAAGCTTTTCTGATGCATGGTGACTGACATACTTGTCTGTAAATATAAGGATCCATGTTTAGAATATAGTAAGAAATTACATTTGTCTGGGGATGTAACATCCTTGATGTTTTCTCTGCAATGTATGACTCTCCAGCCATGTGTATTTGGCTATGTTTACAGTGCCATACATGAGTTTGCTCCCATTAAGTGGGCTTTAAGTCCAATTAGGTAGCTGTTGATTAACCCCCAAAATAAAAATGCCATTACTGCACCAATATAGTTTGCTGTGCCTGTCATTGTTGTGGTTATTAAAACTGGGGTTGGACCAGCAATTGATGTTTTCCCGCAGCTCTGAGAGCTAGCCTTCGGGGGAGGTGGCTTCTAGGTCACTTCCAGCTCCTTTGCTCCAAAACCTGTGTCCGAAGTATGCCCTGACTTCAGTAATAGGGTCTTACCTTCAAGTTCTGGGAGGCAATCAAGGGCTGTGGCAATACCCCGTGTAATTTTGGGAGTCTCTTGGACTACCCTGACCAACAACTCAAAGGGAGGTTTCTCCTGTCTGGCACTGTTTCTTGTTATATAGCCTTCAGCTATATGCATGGACTCATGTATAGATATTTTAAGTATAATTTTTCAGTGGGCTTTTGAACTAATATATTTCCATCTCTAGTTAACTTTACCCACCTAGGGCTCACAGACCATTGGGGAAGAGGGAACGGAAAGATTGAAAGAGCCAGGGAAGGCGGTACATGGCAGAGTCTTACAGGCATTTGGAACCTTGCTCTATGAACCTACAGCAATGGTTTCAGCATGCACAAGACCCATACAAACAGAGAAAGACGCAGCATAGAACTAGGGAAATGGGCAGCTGACCCCATCCTTAGCCAAAGAACTATTGGCAGCTGATTACTGCCTGGTGAAAGAGAGCTGATCTTTAAAGGAGAGACTCTGGATAGGCTGACTAGACCCCAGTGGATGAACTTGTACAGAGAGATGTCTGGGTATACTAACTTGACTTGACAAGCCTTAACATATATGACAGAATGCATGAAGTTTGGTGGGGTGGGCTATGGGATGGTGCTGAAGGGGGAGGGGGTATAAAGATGATTATACCTATTTTGGTCCTGTTTTGTATGAAATGCACAAAAATTCAGTAAAAAATATACATTGAAAAAAGGAATACGGACTTGAGTATGAGCAGAATTGGAATTCAGAACCAGATTTTCTCTGCTTCAGTCTAGAATTGGACTCACTTAAGTGAACTGGTACAGTCAATTGAGTGTGAAGACTCAAGCATCTTGATTATAGCGATAGTGAAGTGAGGGGGACCCACTTGGGGATGAAGAAGATCTGGGGAAAGGCCTTCATTGAACTTCATGGTGAGGAAACAGAGAATCTTGGTGAGCTGGGGTCTGGTTTTGAGCAGTAGCTGGAGTGAGTATGTGATTCATGGATTCTCTGGAGAGAATATGGTGGATGAGCACATTTCTCAGAACGGAGTTGGTGTATTTCTTTATGACTAGCTGCATGACCTTAGGTAAGTCAGTTGATCTTTCTAAGCCTTGGAAATTCCATCTGTAAGAGAATATTAATCTTGTGAAACCTGTTCAGAGTGTTGATAGGTGCTTTTATTTCTGAGTTCTTGGCCTATGAGATAGAAGTGAATTGCTCTGCCATTAAGTAATGTTTTATTTTTTTCTAGTTGTATAATTTTGGAGAGACAGTTTCTATTGTGTTTTGGACGGACACTTGGAGACCGGAAAGCTTCTTTAACAAAGTGAAGAAGAACAGGCAGAACGGTGCACACACACTGTGCTTACTCGGTAAGAGTCTGGCAGCTCCCATAACCTCACCACATGGAGTTGTCAGAGTCTTCTTATTCTGATTTTTGAGAGAGAATGAAAACTCTTCTATGAGTAACTCACTGGAGGCTAGAAGGACGTGGGCCAGCATTGTGTGCACCAGGCACTTTACAGTGCTCTCAGCTCCAGATACCACCAGGCCGATCCTGCCTCCAGGCCTTGACTTGCTGTTCCTCCTTATAACATGGAACCTTTCCAGCATTCTATATTTACCTATTTGCCCATCATTCCTGCAGTTCAGCCTACATATATCAAGCATTTATTCTTACCACTGACCATGCTGCGTCTTCTAGGATGTTCTCTATCAAAATCACAGGATCATACATCTGAAAGATACTCTGAAGGTCATTTTATTGAAACCTGTTTTGCAGGTGAAGTTGAATAGAATACTGAGCAGTTTCCTGGTGTCACTCAGTTAATTGTTGGCAGGACTGGTGGAGTCAAAGTAGCTCATTCTTCACAGCTTCCTTCATTGTACTGAGCTGCCCATACTGTATTTCCTATTTAACATGGAAAGGCTAGGACCACACCTTTGTACAGCAAGAAAATAGCACAGTTTCAGACAGATACGGACTTTCCCTTCCAGCAGAGACCCTAACATTGTAACAAGTCACACCTCTTAGTCTGTATTCTGATAGCATATGTTGTAAAAGAAATATTGGCATCACATTTTTGCTTTCCCCCAATGAACCTAACACAACTAACTGATGTTAGCTTTGCAGTGAAACTTAAATTAGAATCAGGATACCCATCTCCCTGCTTACTAGCTAGAGAATTCTGAAGGGCTTTCCTTGGCTTTTGTCTGCGTGTTACCAAGGAGCTCTCCTGCCTCATGGGGCTGTTCAGTGCCGCACTTCTCAAACTGTTTGTGATGAAGGACCAGTGGGGTTAATTTTTTTTTGCACTTAATTTGTGTGTATATGTGTATGCATGTATATGTGTGCATATGTGTATGTGTGTGCATGTCCATGTATGCCACAGCATGTGTGTTAAGGTCACAGATCAAATTCAGATCACCAAGTACCTGCTTAGCTATGTGTGTGTTTGTGTCTGTTATTGCTCTTGTTTCCTTATTTGTGTGTGTGTGTGTCTATGTGTGTGTGTGTGTGTGTGTGTGTGTGTGTGTGTGTCTGTGTGTGTCTGTGTGTGTGTGTCTGTGTGTGTGTGTTGGTTGTTGTTGTTGCTCTTGTTTTTCTTATACTGAGGATTGTACCTAAGGCCTTTCAAATGCTAACAAGTGCTTTACCACTGATCAGTATCCTCAGCCCCCAGGTGGTTTTTGGATTTTCAGTTAGGGGTTTTGTTTTTTATTATTTATTTTGTTTTTGAGACAGGATCTTCCTGCAGCCCCAGTTGGTCTAGAACTCACTGTGAAGACCAAGATGGCCTCCCTCTGACAGGGATCTGCCTCATGTTTTCTTTTTTTTTTTTTTAAATTTTTTTAAAGAACAATATTTTTTTATTGAACTTTTAAAATTTCATACATTTCTCACTCAAATCCAGACCCCCTCCCCTATCCATGCCTCCCCATCCCCGCACCGAACCCTCTGCACTCTGCCTGCCATACATGCTGAGTCCTGTTCATTCAGGTGTTTGTACCCAAATGTCCTTCAGTGTAAATGCATCCACTGGAGTTTGTTTTGTTTTTTAAATGTTTCCTTTTAAATTTCCATTCTTTTGAGTGATTTACAAATATGCTTGGTACTTTTGTAAATACCTATTCTCACTTTTCTAGTCATTTCATTATTTATTGGTAACAAGCTCACACATGGGCATCAATTCTCAGGACATATAGTATACCGCACTATTTTAGTGCTACTGTGATACAGCAGACTTTCTACTTCATAGCACAAGACAGAGCAGAGGATGAGCCCATGATTTTGGATACAGCTACTCAGAACATTGAGAAAGATTTCTGTTTTTCAAAAACTTAAATTATTTGCATATATAGTTACTTCTTTTGTATTCAACAATACATAATTTTGTGCAACCTAATCAGTATGAAACTCAATGTGTCTTAGTAGAAAATGTCATATGATTGGCATTTCATACAGGGCAGGAATCAGAGATGAATTTCCAGAGCAGAGTTTAGCAAACTAATGCCCATAAGAGAGCGGTGCTAAGAGCCTAAACTAGCTGCAGAGGTTTGCCAGTGCCTGACCTAGAGTGAAGTTTGCTCCAAGATGGTGTGCTGTGCTTGACCCCTCTGTGACTCTTCCCTGTTGCCTTGTTTTCAGTCTTTTCATATCTGAATTGTCTTACTAAGTTGGTTGATTTTGTCCCTGTTTCAAGGGGGGCTTTGCTTGTTCATTTCTCCATTCCAAATGTCTAGAAATGTGGAAGAGTATAAATGCAGAATAAATATTTACCAAAGTTAGTTAAAGCTTTCTTATTTTATCAGACCCAGTCTTGCTACTCATTGGCAGAGAGATTCTTTAGCTCTTCCTGATTCGTTCAATTTTAGCTTGAATACGTTCCTTTTATTTTCTATTTTCTTCACATTTTTGATACCTAATTCCACATTTCCACATTTCCTTTAGGCCATAAAACCTTCTTGAACATTTTCTTTTTTTGGCTTATATGAATTTTTTTTTTATTTTTGCTAATGAGACTTAGTGCTTCATTGGTAATTAATTAGTTTTATACTTTGTCTTTAGATTCTTCCTTCCATTTGAAGACACCATTGTAGACCTTACTAGAAAGAACATTATAAAGCATTTATTCATTGGTGTGGCCTCTGCTATTAGACAGATCCATTTTGTTAGCCTATACTTAGAGCCAGTCAAGGCTGATGGTGGGTTGAGGTTTAAAGCAGAATGATGGGGAAAGGACAGCTTTTAAAAAGGTTTTGCTAAGAGAAAAGTTCAGAGTGTATTAATCCGAGGGATAAAAAGTGGGGATTCACTGGAGCGCAGATGCTAAGAGTGCATATGTGTTTTTCTGTAAGACTAGATGTTTTCAAAACAGATAGGGGGAGAAGAGCCTAAGGAGTGAGCAACCTGGTAACCTCCTCATACAGCCACTCAGAACGTGGGGAAGAAGATGCAGCATTTATCTTTTGGAAAGCTTTGAAAAGGCAGGTAGAAAGTCAGTTTATGGGTACTTATTGAGTGCTAACCCAATGTGGAATCTGGTTCATGTGGAATATTTAGAAAATGTTAGACTTGAGTCCTACCCTCAGAATTTTGAGGTCTAGTTTACCACTAATGTGTTATGCACATGGAAGCTTAAAGAACAATTATGTTCTCTTGTGTAGAGAGACAGGAAGGATAAACCAGAACCTTGGCTCTTGGGTTCTCTTTCTAAGAGCTGTCTCTTTTCTTAGCTTTCCTGGGAAAAGACAAACAAGGTTAAACAATGTGTCTTCCTTATTCTGTTAACAAAAGCAGGAATAGGGTGTGAAGTGTAGGACGTCATGATTCCAGATTCTCAAACCATAGATCCGACATTTAATCACCTGGCATTCTCATCATTTAAATTAGCATGTATTTGTTGAGTGCTTGCTATGGGTCAGTCCCTTTAGGGATTAATAAGAAAACAGCATGGTAGGAAATCACAGAGAACTGATTTACTTAAAGACAAGACCAATATATGTGATATAACTAGAAGCTAATAAAAGATAACATCAATTTTGTAGATATTTCCAAGAACCAAGAGATTAGCATAGAAGTCGGCAAAGACTGAAAGAACTGGAACTTCTCTTTCTTAAACATAGTTTCAGATGGGCTGGAGAGGAGGTGGTGGGAGAACCATAGAATGTTTAGTAGGGTTTGTGGACATTGCTGGACACTTCATAGTATGGTTCCCATGCTAAGATGAGTACAAGCAGCCTATATTCTAACAGGTAGAATGAGATAGGAAAAAATATGGCCTGTTGAAAGACAGCGACAGAGGAAAGCTGTTCTGGCTTGCAACTCTCTGTTCACTAATGCAATCCCATGTTCGGCTAAAATGCACTTGCCTATAAAAGTTCTCCCTAACTCACTTCATTTTAAAAATCAAATTCACGGGCTGGAGAGATGGCTCAGTGGTTAAGAGCACTGACTGTTCTTGCAGAAGCCCCAGGTTCAAATCCCAGCACCCATATGGCAGCTAACAACAGTCTGTAACTCCAGTTCTAGGGGATCTGACAGCCTCTTCTGACCTTCACAGGCATTGCACGACACGGGTGCACTTACCTTCACACAGGCAATACATGCATACACATAAAATAAAAATAAAAAATAAGATTTTTAAAAAAAATTCACTTGTAGATCATATCATTAAAAACAGGGACGATCTTACTATCAAAATGCCACATTAAAATTGGATGCTGTGACAAACTCCTGTAATCCCAGCCCTCAGGACATGGCATCAGAAGGTTTGGGGGTTTGAGGCCAGCCTGGGTTACATAGGGACTCTCTCTCTCTCTGTTTTTTTTTGTTTGTTTGTTTTTGTTTGGGTTTTTTTTTTTTTTTTTTTTTTTTTGGTCTTTTTGAGACAGGGTTTCCCTGTAGCCCCAGCTGGCTCGGAACTTGCTATATAGACCAGGCTGGCCTCGAACTCACAGAGACCTACCTGCCTCTGCCTTCTGAGTGCTGGGATTAAAGGCATGCACCACCATGCCTGGCTAATCTAAAAATATCATTTGAAGGAAATGTAAAATTTCACTTATACCATTAATTTGTATTGGAGGTCCTATTTTCGCTAACATACTAGTTTTTCTTATATATGCCAAACAAGTAGAACCATTAAGTAATTATATCATTAAAAATATCATTTTCAAATCTGAAAAAAATACTTAAATACTGGCTTCACAGACAATTGCAAACTCTATATGAGATTAAACTTTGTTATAATATTTAAGAAAACTTTTTAGTATTCTTCGTAAGAAAAACTTGTACCGTTACTTAAGAAAGTTGTAGAAGTCTACCAGAGACACCTCAGTTACACCATATTTATTTTTACAGAAACAAACTTTGGCTGAACCATTTGTTTTGGCATGTGAAACAGGAAGCAGCTGTTGCTCCTGCTGCTGTGTGTGGAGTTCCTATGAGGATGTAGAGCCATTCTGCTTGTTCCCTTTTTCCCAGATAGTTCTGCTGGGCATCAGTGACTGAAAGGTGTAAGGGATCAAATATTTGCCACAAGTGCACTGTCAGATTTCACAAGAGCAAAGGTGGTGTCTGGGCCAGTCCCCAGTGCCCTAATACCTGGCATAGTGCTCTGAAGCCCTGTTAAAAGTGAAAGTACTTGCTATTAAAGTATTTATTCATAATTATGGTATATCTTTCCATTCATAAGAAAGCAAAAGTTTCTTTTCAAAATATAGTAAGAATCCCTTTTCTACTTACGTTCTATCTGTTGAGGCTTTTATATTCAGACACCTGAAAAACAGATACGAATAGGAACATTGTGAGACATTTGGAATGAGTCAGTACAGTTACCAACTACTAGAAATGAAAACAAAGATTTGATTAGCTGTTATGTAGCCCATGTGCCAATTTTTATCTAATTCTTCCCTTTGTCTTTTTTAACAACAGGAAACTAGACCCCTGCAGGCTGGTGTCAGGGCCATACTCATGTTGCTTTCTAATTAGGGATCTCCACAGCCATAGGCTTTCATTAAGAGAGTGGTTATACACAGGTGTGAGCAGACACCCCACAAACTTAGGATGAGCATTTCGGGGACTCTGGAAGAGCTATCAAAAATTTAGGTAGTTCTTATTGGAAGTTTAAGGGTTTGGGTAAAATGATTACATTAAAAGAACTGTCTTTTACTTCTTACAGACATCAAAGTGAAGGAACAGTCTTTGGAAAACCTAATCAAGTGAGTTCTTATTCTGAGAGTGAACACATCTATTTTCATTTCCTAAAAAGACATTTAAGTTCTGCCTAAATGACCCGGGTTCTAAAGATGACTGAAAACTGAGCTTTTATCAACAGTTAAACAGTAAATATTTCATACTTATAAAAGATAAAGCTGGAATCTGGAGAGACCGTCTATGCTGTGATAAAACTACTGACCAAAACCATCTTGGAGAGGAAAGGGTTTATTTGGCTTACGGTAAAGTTCTTCATCAAGGAAAGCTAAGGTAGGAACTCGGCAGGAACCTGGAGCACAGACCATAGAGGAATACTGCTTACTGGCTTGCTCCCCTGGCCTGTGCTCAGCCTGCTTTCTTATACAATACAGGACCAGCTACCCAGGAGTGGCACCACCCACACTGGGCTGGGTCCTCCCACATCGCTCAACAATTAAGAAAATGCTTCAAAGACATGGCCACAGGCTAATCCAATAGACACAGTTCCTCTACTGAGGTTCCCTCTTTACAGGTGTGTCCCGTTGACAACTAAAGCTATCCAGCACACTGCTCTTACAGAAGACCTGGGTTTGGTTCCCAGCACCCACATGGCAGCTCACAATTGCCTATAACTCCAGTTCCAGGGGACAGTCTCTTCTGACGTCGGTGGTCTTTGCATGCACGTGGTGCACTTACACACATGAAGACAAAACACTTGTACTTGTAAAATTAAATCAAAAAAATTTTTTTTTAAAATAAGGCATGTGAGAGTGGAAAAAGCAATAGGCTTCACAGGTTCAACACTGGGAACAGTGGTCGGCATTTAACAGTCACTCATTAAGTATCTGTGGACTGAATTAATGCATGGGAGTCAAAACACTTGACTCTGAGTCTCCAGTCTGCCTCGGTTTGTTGCTCTTGGCAGTTCCCTTCCATCTCCAACTGGCACTTCTCTGTGTGTAGCCACGGAAATCGCCTCTTTACATAGGGAGGCTGTACGGGGCCTGGTAGGACAACCAACAAGCACTTGAAATGTGGTTAGTGCAAGGGAGCAACGGAATTTTTCATTAAATTTTAATTGATTTTAAACTCAGTTACAAAGCTTTTAGGTTATTAGATACAACTTTTAAATATTTTTAAAATATATTTTTTGTTCTTTGAGCATTTCATACATGTATATGTGTATTTTGATCATATCCATCCTCTTGTCTCCTCCAGCTCCTCCCTATAACTCTGTTTTATGACCATACATTTTGTATGGAGAGATAAGTATTTCTAATGAAAACTTGACAATCAAATTAAAATGTGATAAAAGTGCTTATCAGTTTTCAAATACTTAGTATAAAAGCAACCTTTAGTGATTGTTTGTGAATAAATATTCAATTATAGTATTGTGGGTATTCTAGGTTAAATATATTTACATGTGCTATTAAAATTGATTTTTTCCCTTTCTAACTTGTTAGTGTAGTTCCTGGAATACTTGAGATTATATTGTGACTTGGGTTATATTTCTATTGGATAGCACTGACTTAGAGAATTGTTTGTAGATAATAAAATAACCAGTACCAACTGTTCTATACGTTTCACAGCTTCCATTTTTGTTACTATGATCATTGGTCAACTGGCAGGGTTCTGAAACAAACGTCACTGTCAAAGATTTTCAGGTCTTGAGCAGTTTACTTTTCTTAGAGGAAGAAGTAACAAACGGAGTATGTGGTTTTACATGTTACGAAGGTAGCTAGCATACACCAGGCCCTGGGTTCAATCCCCAGCACTGCAAAAAGAAAAAGCTTACTGCAGAGCCTGATTAAACGAGAGTTTAGACAAAGCTGACACTTAGTTTGAATTAGATTTGCCTAAGGCATCACTTTTCAGAAGGATAACCCTCATTTAGACATCTCTCTTTGTGGAATTTGAATCCTGCTGTCATTTCAGTGGCACTGAGGGCAGCTGAAGTAGAGCAACTGGGACAAGGCACTGTCCAGTGCTGTGGTTACGTGAAAGAGGGTATCGTGAAAACCAGGGTGCAGCATAGGCTGTGGTACCCGGGTGTGCCTGAGAGGACCTGCAATTACTGTGGCCCTGCAATTGCCTGGTAAGAACCATGCCATCTGGCTTTATACTTTCAGGGGAAGGAAGATCTATGAACCCCCTCGCTACATGAGTGTAAACCAGGCAGCCCAGCAGCTTCTGGAAATTGTTCAGAATCAGAGAATACGTGGAGAAGAACCAGGTACTCAGGAGCCTGTAAAGGCTGTGATATTATTCCTTTACAGTTGCACTCATCTATGTACTTACTAAATATCTGGCACACATTCATACACGCCCATGGCGAGGGCCAGTGTTTTTGTCTTGTGCTGTATTTCTCATCACTTTTTTCTAACTTTAAATTCGACAGGATTCAAGTTGAATTGAAAGAAAAATAATGGAGCTATTAAATTAACACAGTGCAAAACCATGAGGATTTTTTACCAATTAAACATAATCAGATTTAATATAAACATGTTAATGTACAAATATTTTGATAAAATAGAGAGCTACCATTCTGGCCCTAATCAATACTCCTTGTCCTACAAAAATACATTTGTTCTACTTTTTCTTCTCAGTGCTGAGATCTGGAATAGTTTTCTTTAGGATAAAGACAAGAATTCATCCTTACATTCCTAATAGCTAGGCAGATTGTATAGTATATAATAAAATGTGTGCAGTCTATAAATCTTTATGGAGAGGTTCTGAAATGAACCTGCCATATTGTGTTATTAAGGTATTGATGTCTTCTGAATACCTGACTTCTAGTAAAAAAGACACATTAAGAGAGTTTAAATTTCATTTTCATCTCATTAAAAATTTATTTTATATTTATCTGTTCACATTTTGTGTATGTGTGTGAACACATGCCTGTCACAATACATGCATGGAGGCAGAGGAAAGCCTGTAGCAATTGGTTCTGTTTTCCACTATGTGGGTCCCAGGGATTGAACTTAGGTCATTAGCCTTGGAAACCCATGCCTTTCCCTGCTGAGCCATCTTCTGGCCCAGGTCATTGTATGATTTATTCTCATTAGTAACCTTTATTTCATTTGTGAAGTGGTTTGTTCTGAGTTCCTTGCATGCTTACTTTTCCTCATCTAAATTATTGTTTCATTTTGATCATTATTCAGTCAGGATAACTTTCCCAGCTAAATGATAAAACCAGTAAGAGGTTGTAGCACCAAAGTCAATGATCCCAAAAGATGAATAAGGATTGTTACTCCGAATTTAAAAGCATAAAACAAAAATGCCTATTATTTGTTAAGGGCTCTATAGTTCACTAAATACTCATACCCATTGTATTAACCTTCGAAACTTCCATTTAAGAGATAATACATTTTTAAAAAGAAGAAAACTGAAGTTTGTCACATAACTAATTAGATGGCTGACAGAAGCCCAAGTCTCTGAATTTATCTTGTAATCTCATAGTTTTTCTACCGTCTATTGGTTAATATAAACATATCTCAATCATTTATTTAGGGCTGGTGAGATGACTTCATGGGCAAAGCGCTTGCAACACAAGCATGACAATCTGTTCAATCCCTGGAACCCACACGAAAGTGAAAAGAGAGAACCAACCCCATAAAATTGTACTGTGACCTCCACACAGACACGTATACTATGACACATATGTGCCCACACATATCATATATATATATATATTAATAATAAATATTTTTCAAATTATTTAAAATATATGTTACAAACATGTTCACTCAAATCTTGTTTTAAGACAAGTGTCAGGCCATTTTGTGGAATATAGATACAGCTAATTGTTTATCAAGTTGTTAAAGTGTAAGTCCATGTGAGCCTTTGGAATTCTCAAAGGGTAAAGTAATTGGTCTATAGTAGTAGCTAGAGAGATTTAAAGACATATGGGGACATTTTTCAATGTACTTGTGGGTACTAATATGTTTGAGTGTTGAACAAGATGATGTATTTGTTTGCTAAATTGAATTACTTTTTGAATTACAATCTTCTTTCTCTCTGCCTCCTCCCCTCCAACCTTCCAGCAATCACTGAGGAGACGCTCTGTGTTGGCTTAGCCAGAGTTGGAGCTGAAGACCAGAAAATTGTGGCTGGCACTTTACAACAGATGTGTACAGTGGACTTGGGAGAACCGTTGCATTCCTTGATCATTACAGGGGGCAGACTGCATCCACTGGAGATGGAAATGCTAAGTCTGTTTTCTGTGCCAGAATCCCGAAGTGTTAATGGACCCTGAGCATGGACATTTTCTATTGTTTCACATTATTTTCAGTTAGGTAGGGGTGTGCATATATTTGTATGACATACTTGTTTATCTAGTATAAATATAAGTGACCAAAAAGAAGTAAGTTGACTCAACAGTGCTTGGTTTCCTGCAGGAATGTTTTCCCCATTATGACATCAATTGCTATTGGCCACTTGTCAGGGTTTACAGACACCGGGCAGACCAAACTGGAAAACTGTGGCTAGGCATTCACACAGAATCACTGAAGAGCGGTTTTTATTTATAAAACCAGTTAACACAAGGTGGCTGGTACCAAGTATAACTTGAAGAAACTGGAATGTGGATCATTTGATCCTACGTTTAAAGGATAAAAAATAAAGGAGTGGCGAGAAAGCAAACACAAGGCTGTGAGCTCCTCGCTCGTTTTTATGATCTTTATAAAAAGCCAGCTGTTTATAAAAAGGGGCTGAGGAGGTGGCTTAATTGGTAAAGTGCCTATCATGCAAACATGAAGACTTGAGTTCAGATCCCCAGTACCCATGTGAAAAGCTGGGGTTGGTGATGCGTGACTCTACCCCTTAGCACTGACTGGGGGTAAAAAAGAAACAGATCCCTGGAGCTCACTGGTCAGCCAGTCTAGCCAATCACTGAGCACTAGGTTCAGTGAGCTACCGTGTCTCAAGAAGTAAGGTGGAAAGTAATTGATAAAGGACACCAGATGTTAACTTCTGGCCTGTACACATGCAGGTATACCTACGTGCACGCACACACACACTGAGCTGAGCACATGCCTCAGAATGACACTCTTCTGAATTGAGCCGTTGTGGTTAGCAGACATCCTAATTATGTGATTCAGATTCTGCTTTATTTTAGAGATTATATGATTATTTAATTACAGATGTTCAGCCAGCCCTGTGCAGTTGCCGTTCGGTTTTAAAAAGCATCTTTCACATCCAAACAGATAAATGAAAAACTTGCTTACTACAGAATCAGGGTTTTAAAAAATTAGGTTTGAAGGCTACAGTACATGGTCAAGATTCGTAATGTCACTAATTCAGTGGATGGGCATCATGTACAGGCAATCACCTTACCAATTTTAAATGATTCATCAGTTCAGAATAGAAGTAGCTGTTATACACTATTTCATTAGTTCAAATCTGAGTATTTCCATGGTCTAATCAATTTGACCTTTTTGTTCAGTAAAGTCATTGAAAAGTGGATGAGAAGAATCCTACCTCCTGGCATTATCAGTGAGCTAGAAATCATTTTGACATTTCATTTGGGATAAAAGATTTTAATATGTATGAAACGTCCTTTTTCGATCTGTGTGCACATAAATACTTTGTCAGTTCTGTACTATTCTGAGGTGTTAAACATTCAAGAATAGCACAATAAAGGACTCGGAGGTTTGGCAGTAGTGGAATAGCTTTGTTCACATGCAGTCGCACTAAATTTTCCTCCCTTTTCCTTTCTTGAGAGGCTCCGCACTGCACCCAAGGCCTACATACTAACACAAGACATTTTTAGTTTGGGTTTTGCATGGCTTTTAAATGGTAGGAAGGGGAGGGGCACAGGGCCATTTCGATTACTTCCGTGCCCCTCACACAGAGGGTCTCACCCCAGGTCTGTAAATGCCCCGTCTCTCCCATGCCTGCAGGATGCCTCCGCCATTCACCCCAGTAGCCACACACTTCCTTCATCCCCTTCCAGTCTCCCCGTCATGCTCTCCACAGCACTCTGCCCCTCTTCCCAGGGTGCTCCTTGTCTCACCCCTGGCAGTCTTACACTTTTCAGAGGAATAAGTAATTTTCGGGCTACACATGCTCTAGCTGTAAACTGGACAGTGTTATAGTACATGACTGTTGAACTGACGGGTCACCAGAGCAGCTGAGAATTCTGCTCATGTGGCTTTTCCTGTTGAGGCATTCCCAGACCTCAACTGAAGACAAAGCTGGAGTCCTACTGGCATGAGGTGACAAGGATGGAATTGGTGGCTCCAAAAGGAACTGGGAACTGTAGGAGCCCTTAGAAATGAAGGTGTGGAAGAGGGAGGGAGGAGTCGTCTGGTCTGCATGTCCTAAATTCTCAGCTGGCTCCCAATTCTGCATGTGCAGGAATATCCAGGGAGCCTGTTGGGAAACCAGGCTGGAGAGCTAAAGAAACTCACAGACTTTGCACTCTATTCAGTTTCAAGTTTGAATTCTGACTTGTTAAACTTGTGGATTTTCCCAGAATGGCCATGTATTAATAAAGCCTAGGCCCAGAACTAAACTAAGGACAAAACCTTTAACATAAAATCAGGCTTCCATGAAATCAAAGTGATGAGTCCATGATTTAATCCCTGTTAGAATGAAGCTTATCACAATTAAGAGTATGATAATAGGGCTGGGCAAGCGGCACATGCCTTCAATCCCAGCTCTCTGAAAGCTGAGGCAGATGGATGGATCTCTGTGACCTCAAGGACAACCAAGTCTACATACCGAGTTCCAGGCTAGCCAAAGCTACATAGTAATTAAAATTAGTATGACAACAAAATATGAAGCATGGCTTTATGGTTAGTAGAGAGAACTGCAGCGAGAAACATGCAAACAGAACCTAGACTTCAAAATTGGTACATGAAGACTGGACCTTTAGAACTATTTGAAGCTGTGTTGAAGGATGAAAAGCAAAGGTGATTGTAGTGTATGACTGAGTACTCTCATCTAAGAGATGAAAACAACAAAAAGAAAAAAAAATTGGCAAAGCAAGGTAAAGATGAATAGAGGAAGAGAAAAGAAATACAAAGTCTTAATGTCATGGGACAATACTGAGCAGGGTTTTTTAAAATTTTACACTTTAGGGGGGGTGTGCATGCACACACGCATGCTGTTTGGAGATTAGAGGACAGCTTTGCACAAGTGTTGGTTCTCTCTGCTATGTGGGTTCCAGGAATTGAATTCAGGTTGTTAGGTTTGGTAGGAAGCACCTTGACCTGCTGAGCCATCTCACCAGGCCCACTACCAAGCAGTTGTAACACACATATAAGTAAATTCCCCAAAATAAGAGGAAGAAATAGGGCAGAAGGAATGTGATTATAGGCCAAAATGTCCTCAACTCTGGTCAAGTTATGAATACGCTGATCCAATATGCTCAATGAATTAATTCCAAGCAAAATAAATACGAAGAAAATTATACCTGTCAGTTAAAACTGATGAAAACCAAAGATAACTGGAAAAGCTAGCCAGAGTGCTAGTATGCTAGAAACTCGGCATATTTAACTTGAAATTAAAATTTAGGTGCCTTTGTTTATATTTTGCTAAATCTGGAAAACGTTGATTTAATCTTAATATAAATGAAACTAAAATGAAAATTGCATTTAAAAAAAAGAAAATTGCATTATTCACAAGTGCCACCATTGCACCCACAGGACAATCGACTGGCAGTTTCTTAGAGCACTAAATGTATACTTTACCATATGAACCAGAAATCCCACTCCTAGATATCTACCCTAGAGTAACGTGATCATATAAAAGCCTGTACGTGAATGTTTTAACAACTTTTCATAATTACTAAAAAGAATGTAGAACTCAAATATCTCTTGAATAATCACTGTTGTAGGGATAGCCAACTGGTTTCTGATTGGATTTAAGGCCTGCTCCACTGGAGGAAAAACACTCCTGGTACTATAAATCTAGCCAAGAACCCATGGCTGGGAGGATATATGTCCTTAGGAGCAAACCTACTACTATTATTTTGCTAAATGGGCATAAGAATCAAACTTCCCTAAATACCTATCGCTATACCTAGATTAGTGCAGCTTTCAGTCCTAATCAGAGAAATGTCTTCGTGTAGGTTGGTGGCTTATATAGAGATACTACTGGTCAAAGTTTAGAGAATAAATGGGTGCTCAGCCATAAATGGGACATCTATTATCACATCCCTTTCTCCCCGCCCCCTCCCCCAAGGCTCAGAGAACACCATGGAAAAGAGGGTGAAAAGACTGTAAGAGCCAAAAATTAGGGAGAATTGGGGCAGAACTGTCTTGTGGACATGACCATTGCACTCATGAACTCACAGCAACTATGGCTGCTTCCATCGAGATACAAGCCCATCAACATTCCAGCATGGTTTGGGAAAGGTACGCAAACCCCTACCCTAGCCATTGCTATGTTCTATTTGGAAGAACCTGCTCATGTTTTTTGCAACCCATAGAGGTCAGAAGAGGGCATCGGGTCCCCTGGAACTCGAGTTCTTTCATTACTATATTTTGGTAAAGCATAAGTTTTAAATTTTGATGAAATCCAATCCTTTTAAAAAATGGATCAAGCCAGGCATGGTGGCTCAAGACTTTAATTCCAGCACTCAGGAGACAGAGTCAGGTGATTCTCTGGGAGATCAAGGCCAGCCTGGTCTTTATAGTGAGTTCCAAGTCAGCTGGGGCCACAGGGAGAACCTGTCTCAGTCCCCCCACCCCAAAACAATCATGTTTGTTCTGTCCTGTCTAAAAATTCACCAAATTTAAGAATACATGGCTTGCTTTTTAATCGTATTTTCATCTAGAAGCTTTATATTTTCTATGTCTGGTATATTTTGAACTTCATGGTAGGCAGACATTTTTTTTTTTTTTTAATCTGGGAGGTAGGGCTAGGTAAGCTGACAGTGTTTGAATGACCCATTCAAGTGCTGTTTAATCTTTTCCCTCAAGAGTGGAATGAAAATAGCAAACTGCTGTCATTCAGTTTACATCTATTAACCTGTTGGCCTCTCTGTTTTTGCTGTTGCTCCAGTTGAGGCTAACAAAAGCTTGCTTATTGCCATACTCTGAATAGTAGTATTAAGTAAGGAGGAAAGGATGAGCATTTAAGTTTCCAGAGGAATTAAGAGGAAATTGTATTTAATAAGTATCAGGATCCTCTCAGCACAGTACAGTGAATAATTAACCACTAAAACAAAACAAGTAATACCCCCTCCCCCAAACACACACAGTGTATATTCAGAGTCTGAAACAGAAAAGAATAATGAGAATAATGATTAGCAAAGCAACTAGAAGGGGAGCAATAAACAAAGATTCAGTGGGGAAAAAACAAAAAATCCTGAGCTAGAGAACTGAAGATACAGATCTGGGAAGCATAGGTCTCCTGTTTGGTGAGCATTGAACCGAAGTAAACAACTTGTCTCAGCCGGTGTGAGAACTGGAGATGCTGCTCTAACCGTGTCCACAGGCCACTGCTGACTTTGATTCAATCAAAGGTTAATTCTAGCGAACACTGGAAAGGCAGAGATTCCCTGGCAGGTGCACTAAACCTAGCAAGCCAAGTGCAGTGTGTAGCAGGGCCAAGGGAAGTCAGTAGAGCAAATATTTAGAAAGGCCCTGGCAAAAGTTAAGACTTAGCAGGTTCCCTGTACTCCTTTCCAAGACTCAGATTGGTGTCAGGGTTAGGGGCCGAAAAGGAATGGCAAAGCTGGGCACAGACTAGACGGGAAGATGCGCAGTTGCTGGATGTGACTACTTGCAGTCAAGTCCTGGAATAAGGTAGGAGGAATGAAAGGGCAGACTTCAAAGGAACAAAGGGACGGACTTTATGACTGGGGATGCAGGAAGTAGAAGCAGCGAAGGCCAAGTTTAGGTGTCTGAGAATTCTGTAAGGAATCTGACCAGTTGGCAGTCAAGAAGAGATTTGGATGGGGAGAGAGAAATTTATTCCTTGTGTTGAATTTGTGATGATGGTAGTTCTGCCACTGATGCCTTTACACAACTCTGACCAAACAGAAGTGAAGCTAGAGTACTAGGAACAGTGGCGAGACCAACACATGCCCCATATGTGAGGAATCCTAGGATAGGCAGAGGATGAACCTCACAGTGTGGAAAGATGGTAAAGAGGCTGTCTTGTAAGAATCCATTTGGTGCAAAGAGGAAGACTTAGTGGAAGAAAATTTTTTAAAAGAATTATGTCTAATGAGGAAGAAAATCTTGGATGGGTCATGGAAGACGCTTTGGGTTTGGCTTCATATGAGGTCATCCAAAGAGAAGGAGGCAAGAAGAGCAATCTAATGCTAACAAACTATCAGGAACTGATACTCTGTAGAGCTGTTTTGCAGGGCAGTGATGAAAAAAGCTACCATTAGGCTCTGCAGGGGCAACATCCTACCATCTCTTCGAAAGAGTTCAGCAGGTGCTCTTTTTAGTTCATTAAACAGACACACATGATTCATGGGAAGATTTTTTAAACAAATTTTATTGAAAACAAGTTTTCAATACAGTTATGATTATTTTAAAAGACATTGAGGTTAAACAAAAAACATATATGTGAACGTGTGCAAGTAGAAAAGTGAGTTATACGTTATGGATCTGTTGTACCGTGCTTGGGAGAACCACAGCTGCTCATCACAGTGTTTCCAAACCACTACGAGGCTAAGTGTGACAGCTCTATCTAGCCTTGCATGTAAACATTCCCAGAAATGTTCCGACGCCATCATCTTCATCAAAGGAATCAACGCCAAATCCAAATTTGGCCATGTTTGAAAACCATTACGGACAGAGAGGTAAAGTGTTGTAGGGTGTTTAGAACACATGAAGAAGGGAGCTGATAACTTTTCAGTCACAATATTTCCAACTTAAAACACCCACCCTGTTTATCACACTCAGAAAAGTGGGGGAGTATCACAGATGGGGAAAAAAAACATGCAAAGACTTTGAAGGGGAACAAAGGATAAGCATGTTCTAGGAACATTAAGATCACTTAATACACATGGTATTCTCATAGAAGCCCCTTCAAAAAATACCTCTGAAAGGGTTTCAGATGACAACATATCTGGGGATAGACTAGACATGCCGTCCTTAAAGGAACACAGCTACAGCGATTCTCCATGAAAACAAAGGAGATGATTCAGGTCCCAACTTGGCCGTACACAATACAGAAAGTCAAGTGGCCCAGGTTGCACAGGCCCAGTTCTGCCAAATTCCAACAATAATGGAAAATGGGAAACAAAGAATGAACGACTTACAGGGTTATTAGTAAAAGATTAAAAAAAAAAAAACTGGACAGAATGAATAAAAAGTCAGTCTGCAAAACTGCCAAAACTGGCAAGAAGTGTCCTGTAGGATGACTGCATTTCCTGTCCCTGACTTTTCCTTTGTGTCTGGTACTATGTACAGTAGTTGCTGTTAACTAAATATTTAGTGAGCATGCAAGTGTCAGTTCACTCTAAGTCTGGGAATAAAGGCCAAATACATGACATCCTTTTTTTCTTATGCTTTCCAACACCATGATCAAAATGGAAAATAAATGTTCAAAGCTGTGGTGAACGCACAGCCTTCTATTTATCAGATTTCTTCTGTTTGAAAAAGTCTATATAAAATGCAGGGCAAATCCTACACTGCTTATCCTTCTCCTGAAGTCATTTGTGCTTCGTGGAAAGTGCTTCCCTAAGGGAGCTCAGTTCTCTGGGGCAGGCACCCCACTTCTCATGATGGCACAGAGTGCTGTCTTTAGTGCCAGGCCCTTGAATAGCTTCACTGTGAGCTCCACCACAACTTTCTACTAACTTTAAAGGGGCTTGAGGAATTCCTGTCACTAGTTACTCTTTTATCCAATACAGTTTTAGATCAGTGGCCAAGTTACAACATAAACATAATGGAGCAGAGAAGGAAATGACTGCAGACATTTCTAAGTGTTCTCTGTAATGACTGTGTCTTAATTGTTTGCTGATTTTCTGGGCATCTATTTCAACCTGCTACCTCTTGGATCTTGAAAACATTGCTAAATGGCATAAATAAAACACAGTGAAGAGAAAAAGTACTTGATTTTCAATCACTGCTGTACACAGTCTCTTCCCAAGATAAGGAAGAGCAAGTCACTTACATTCTCTTGACATAGCTTTCCTTCCTTCCTTCCTTCCTTCCTTCCTTCCTTCTCCTTCCCTCCCTCCCTCTCTCCCTTCCCTTTCTTTTTTATGTGTATGAGTGTTATGCCTGCATGTATGTAAGCTCACCCATGTCGTACAGTACTTGCAGAGGACAGAAGGTGTCAGGTCCCCTGGAACTGGAGTTAAGGGTGGCTGTTAGCTGCCATGTGGGTGTTGGGATTCGAACCTGGGTCTTCTGCAAGAACAGCCAGTGCTCTTAAGCACTGATCCATCTCTTCAGTCCTGACATAGCTTCTTGACTAACAAGAGGACAATGATTCCTTCCTTGTGTTACAAGAATGATGAAATAGATTTAAAGTGCTGTCACTTGTAAAATCATGCAAAATTCTCTTCATAAAAATGTGAGGATCAACTGAAAATATGACAAAGATCACTAAGCCTCTAACACATACATACTTATCAACCTCACTGACTGATGCAGTCAGGAAATGGCTAAACATAACCAAAGACGACCTCATCAGAAAGGCTCCACCTACTTGGCCTTTAAATAGAACTGTACTTCTCTGCTCCGTTTCTTGAAAACACTTCTTTGACGCACAAGTTTTTACTAAGTCTGCCTTGATTCTATAGTAACATTTGAATCACTAAGGCTTCTTGAGAAATCACATCTTGAGACAATCTTTTTCCCTTGTTCTTGGGAGAAAAAAAATTTTTTTTCTAAGATTTCTGTGACTTAGAAAATAATTTCTTTCAAAATTGGCAACTTTCTGTAGAGAAACAACAAGCTTCATTTGGCCACGGTAATGCATTTATGAAGGCTCAAAAGTAGTAGTTTAACATTTGGAATTCTGATTAAGATTTCAAAATTTTACCTGGTTGAATTAAAAGATCTGTTCTACACAACCTTTTATGCCTCCCTTTGCACAGCTCTGAGAATTTTCTAAGTAAAAAAGCTTTCCACTGACTGAAAAGGAAGGTGTCAAACCTGAACAGTATGACCTGTGAATTAGCCTGGTACTAGTTTGCAGAATTCAAACAAAATAGGAAAGTAAGCCAGCCTTAAACCGTATTGAGTCTTGGGCAATTAATAGAAAAATTCACTCACGGGTTAAAAGTACCCATTGTACAAATATTTTTTTTTCCTTTTTCAAGTCAAGAGCTGGTTTTATGAGTAAAAAAATTAAAACATGTTCCACAACAAATATTATGGAAATAATCTAAACTTCGTTATATATGAAAAATGAGACAAAATTCCATTTATAAAGTGCCTTAATGTACCAGAGTGGAGGTCAGATGTTCTTTATTTGCAAACAATATTTAATCACATTTACAGAAAGGCAAATGTTACACTGGAAAGGCAGCACAATACATTAAAGAACTCTTGACTTGGAGCCAGAAGACAGCATTCTACTGATGGCTTTGCCACCAGTTAGGGAGAATGATCTTAAGTAAATAACAGCTTTTCTGGGCTTTCATTTTCTCGTTCAAAAATGAGAGGTAGAACTGACTGCTCCCAGTAGTCTTTGCTTAGCTGTGCTAGTCTATGTTAAACAGTGTGGTTTACTCTTAAGTCCCAGCATTATTCATCAGGTTGGTTCTCATGTTAGTATCTGTAATATCTGATCAACTCAACTGTGGGTTAGTGATTTGGCTGCTTTATAGAGGTGCACAAAAGTCACAGTATTTTGGTTACTGGTATATACTGGTAGGCTTTGAAGAACCTGGATACAAGGGAAATCACAATGACATCTGTTCCCCCTTTCTTACGCTTCCACTGAAGAAAACTGGTATGGATGACAGCAAGAGGAACACTGAGCTACAGATAAACTAGAGCCTGTCCTTCACAAAGATGCTCTGGGAGCTGTCAGATGAACAAGTTGGGTATATGTCAGGCTCTTCAAGTAATATAATGAATTTTTAAAACTGCAACTAGTATAGGTGTATTTCTGTTTGGGGGTGTTTATCTGGCAAGGTAAACGTCCCCTCAGTAATACGTTTGTTACCCAGGGAAAACTTTGGTTTTTCATGTATTGGCAAATTTACTCTCAAATTGTGTTTGTTTTATTAAGAATATTAGCCCAGTGTTAGGATTCTAAATTTACTTTATACCCATAATCAGGCAGTATTTCTTAGTGAAATTACCTATGCTGGTAATACATCTGTGCCAACAACACTGATTTTTCTGTAAGAAAAAAATTTCTACTCATGCTTTTTTTTTTCCTGTACACACAGGTATGCTGACATTTAATTAAGTGAAAATGTCAGTGCCAACCTGCTAAGTTCTGAGCTCGCAAGCTCTTAGAACAAAGTGCAAAATTAGTTTCACATTAAACATATTCTGTACCTTATCAGAGGAATAAACAATATCCATAGATTTGTACAATGAGGGTACAATTAAAGTGACAAATTCTGACAAAAACTTCACTTGGAACTGAGGGTTCAGTGGAAAGCAGATCTGGATCTCCGACAAACACTGGTAAATTTCATAAACCAGTGCAATCATCTCCACATGTGACACGTCAGTGGACCTACACGAAACCAGTCTGTAAAGGCATGCATCCAGAATCAATGCCTTCATCTAGACCTGCCATTTTCTGTAATATGCCACCCGCAGGATAAGCCAAGGTTCCTCGGACTTGGTAATGGCTCAAACATCCAAATGACCACTCAGAACCGAAAGGACAATGCAGTTCCAGTATGCGGACATCTCTGTTTGTACTTCGCCTCCTGAACGACCTCAGTATTTGTTTCAAACACTCTGCTACAGGAATTCTTAAGCTTTACAACTGCCTGGCAGAAATAAACATGTTTTTGAAATTACCATTTTGTTTATAAAAACAAGACTATGACAGTCCATGGCCTGCTGCCATAGTTGAGGAAAGTATAAAGGAAGTGGCAAAGTTTTCCTAAGAGAACAGCTCATTAATTGTAGGTCAGAAGTAGGGGAAAAGGTACTTGAAAACTTAGACAAAATCAACCATAATTTCTGCCACCTTACTGAAAAATTGCCTGCCACTGATCTATACTCTTAATAATTTTTACCCTGCAAGGTTTTAAAATTTTTGTCAACAGTATCAATTTGCTTGGGCTAAAAGGAATACTTGTGATAAAATAAAGAACAATACAGAAATGTTCACTCAAATAGCATCTCCTCAGGAAACAACAAGAATACCTGAGTGTCCCCTCAAATCGCAGTTTTATTTCTCATATACCCAAGAGCCTAGAGAATAACTATTTGAAGACACCTGCTTCAGAAAGAGTTCTACAGTGCCACATTTGCTCCTTATCTTTCATGGTTCAGATTCAATCAAATGCTCTTCTAGGATTCCCAGAAGTAATTTGTATTTGTGCAAATGTGACCAGGAAAACAAACTATTACTTGGCACCTGAAAATGTATGAAGCTGTACAATGACACGGTCAAGGTTATTTCTGCCAGGTCGACGGTGCCTTTTCTATTCATTTATAGAATTTATAAGAATGGCATGGAGAGCTCCTGGAAAATCTATCACAGATAGTTTTTATAGAAATCTGTTATAGAGCAGATGTTTTAGCGCTAAACCGCTTTTTCCTGATAGGTATATTTACAGTTTTGAAAGCATAGTTTACAAAGTAATTTAATGTGATTATTGAATTTTTTAGAAAGCAAAATAAATAATGTCCTTTTGATGAGATAAAATAAGAAATTTAATATATTTAAATCTATGCTGGAAGTACACAGAAAGACAATCTGTATATGTTTCTAGTAAGTCTTCTTTTGTAGAGATTACAGAATATTCATTAAAAAAAACTATACATATGACCCTTAATGGTACATTTCTATGCTGGCCAATACATTTTCTGATACAAAGGCACTTTGAAAACCCAATGTGGTTTGGTTCATAAGTTTGTGAGATACAAACAATTTTACAAACATATGATTATACTGAAGAAGGTCCACATGTAAAACAGATTTCCCTGTTTAAAAGCAACACTGGCTTTGTGGGTTGGGTTTCCAGCAGCTTTGGTGAGGACATTCCAGAAGACTGGAGGCCCACAGTCTGAATTTCTCACTGGCTGGGCAGGATGGTAGGATGGGGTGAGGCTGATCTGCAAGAACCCCCAGAAAAAAACAAAACCACAACCCAACACCCTGGAACAAACCCAGAAACCTTCGAAGTCAGAATGGCTCGGAGGGAAGAGCACACAAGACATGGTCAGAACGATCCTCTGTCTCAGCTGTGAGTCTCTAGAGCACACGCTGACTCGACCTTCTCTGCTTGGTGCTGCAGAGTTGTAGTGATGACATCTCTACTTTAGAGAGCTGGGTACGATGCTTTGGATTGTGCAGTACTGGAAACGTTTGGTCCCCAAACAACTTCTTTTCATCTATATCACAGCAAAGTCAATCTGTACATAAAGCTGCCTTACTCCAGCCTGAAAAGTGAAAAAGAAAAATTAGAAAAATCAAGCCTATAGTGACTACACACTTTAGAAAAGTGGTATGACAAAAATTACTTAATTAAAATAAAATAAAATCTTGTTTATTTCTAAGAAATAATTCATTTCTAGCACAGAATATAAGTCGGTTGCAAAACCACTACAAAAAAAAGGAAGAAAAAAAAAAAAAATCTATGCTACTAGTCACATGCCCTGTGCCTGGGTTTCTAGAAATGGAGTTCTCCATCTTCCGCTACCAGCAGAGGACACCATAGTCCTCTGCTTCACTGGTTATAACATTAAAGCCAGGCAGAATCTTTCCAATATAGCACACACACCTCATAAGCATAACCATCTACTGGTTACTTATCTTCTATTCCAATTCTTTTCTTCAATTTCTGGATACGTTCTCATTATTCAAGAATATTCCCCTAAAAATTGTCCTATATTTCTCTTATTTTATCAATTTTCTTTGTTCAACTGGGGTCAATTCAAACGCACTATACTTTCTCCTACTTTAAAAGACCTTTTATTTAACCCAGCATCCCTTCCTGGTACAGTTTCAATCTCTGTTCTTCTGGATAGCAAAAATTTTCAAAACGTTTTCATATTAACTATCAAAAATTCCTTTGTGCTTAAAGTCATTTCAACCTCAACTGACCTCTCACCACTTCCTAAAACTGTATGTCAAGGTCACTACTGAGTTGCTCATACCAGTCCACAGCCAATTCTTGTCCTGAGCTTAGTATAGAATGTACCAGTAATATACAGATTACCAGTCCTCTCTTGCTGAACACTTTTCCCACTTACCCCAGAAGACAGTCTGTGGTCAGTCACCTGGCAATCTGTCATTCTCCTTCACCGTTTCTTCTGTCTTTGAGGACTAAACACTGAAATACCCAAAGGCTCAGTTCTCGTAATCATCTCCCTGCATTTATTTCTTAAATGATCTCATCTCATATCCAAACTTTCAGTTCGCTCTATGGATATGTTCACATCCCCAAGTTTATATTTAGAGACTAAAACCTGCATCTAATTGACAGTTCTCTTGGATATCTAAAAAGCAGCACCAAGACCAAACCGAACTCTTTCTACACCTCAAACCTGTTGATCTACCCTCAGTAGTGCTCTGCTTAAAGGCCTTTCTTTTTCCTTTGTCCAATACCCAACCCCCTTGCAAAGCCTGGTGGCAATACTCCAATAAGTCAAATGCAGAACATGACCACTTTACATCATCTCTACTGTAACCAACCCTAGTCATTATCAGCTCCTGCCCAGATTCATTAATGCCACTAGCCTAGTTTTCACACTTCATTTCTTCCCAGCAGAGTAGCCAGAATGGCATCTGTCACTCACTCCAACCCTCCAAAAGTTTATCTTCCTAAATCCTAAGAAACTCCTTGCAGTGGCCTCTGCACTGTCATAGGATCTGGCCCAATCGGGCCTGATTATGGTCTTATCTGTCTCACTGTTTCCTCCTCCTCCCCTGGCTTGCTCTGCTACCCTTTTACCTGAGCCTGCTTCCTTCCTTCCTTCCTTCCTTCCTTCCTTCCTTCATGTTTTTTTTTTCATTTTATGTTTTAAAAGGAAAACGAAATAAATAGAATTTCTTTCCTTTTTCCGTCCCTCCCTCCCTCCCTTCCTTCCATTTTATTTTTTAAATTTTATTTATGTGTATGAGTGTATTGCATGCATTGTGTGCATGAACGCAAGTGCACTTGTGTCATGCAATGCCCGCAGAGGACAGAAGAGGGTGTTGATCTCCTGGAATTGGAGTTAGGGATGGTTGTTAGCTGCCATGTGGGTGCTGGAATTCGAACCTGGGTCTTCTGTAATAACAGCCAGTGGTCTTAACTGCTGAGCCATCTCTGCAGCCGCAAGCCATGTTTCTTTTTTTAAAAAAAATTTTTATTTATTATTTTCTGTGCATGAGTGTATTGGCTGCACGCAGGTAAGTGCACCTGTGTTGTGCAATGTCCGTGGAGGGCAGAGAGGCCATCAGATCCCCTGGAACTGGAGTTACGGACAGTTGTTAGCTGTGATGTGGGTGCTGGGATTTGAACCCAGGTCTTCTTCAAGATCAACCAGTGTTCTCAGCTGCTGAGACATCTCACCAGCCCCTTTTTTAATTTTTTAAAAATATTTTATTACCCAAGCCATGTTTCTTAATATATCTACAAGACACACTTTCATCACATCTCTACCCATACATCAGTGAGGCCAGCCCTGACAACACCTATAAAATGCACTTACCGTTATGTCTTTCTAACCATTCACTGGAATGTTTACTAAATTACACAGAAGGATTATGAAACCTAAAAATTAGGATATTAAATGCATGTGGATTTCTTTTCAAAACTAGTAAAGTGATTTTATGAATTTCAAAAAAATGCATTCACTTCAGTAATCTAATAAATATTTATTGTGCATTTAATGTGTTTCAAGTCATAGTCTCTCAACTAAGAATACAAAAGTGAATAAAATATTGTTGTCTTCATAAAGTTTATATTTTTTTGTGGTCTGGAGGGAGAGGAAGTGGAGATAATGAGCAAATAAGCAAGAAAATGCAGTACCTCCAATGACTCTAGAAGAAAACAAAGCTTGGTACAGAGGAGGCAAATACCTCAGACACTCCCACTGTGTCCTCGACCATCTCACCGCAACACTGGTCACTTCGTGATATTATAAAGCTCACTGTGCTTACTATATGTTTTTGTTCTCTCACTATAATTTCTTCAAGAGAAACACATTTGTCTTTTTCATTTCAGAACCTCAGAAATTTTAGTAATATCTGACACACAACAAGTGGTCAATATATAATTGCGGAATGAAATAAAAATTTAAAAATCAGTTAGAAACAAGGCCTTTCTGTCAATACCATCAAATGAAAAGCACAGAGCGGGAATAAAGTTATTAACACTACCTTTACAGTAATCTCTAGGCTCCTCAGAACACTGATTTTTACATGGCATTCTTTTTTTCTAGTACTCAGGTAGGAAGGCCTTATGCAATACTGTTGAATGCCTAGGATGGAGGTTCGTGGGGAGAGCCAGTGGGAGGATCTTCTCTACTAGTATAAAAAGTTAGACAGACTTTAGGTTGCCGGCACAGGAAACATACCTGTTGCCTCACTGAAAGAAGAAAAGGGGGGGGGGGCAGGGGGCAGCAAAGCAAGCCTTCAAGCCATCCCTTGGCAAGTTAAAACTCAGGTACGGACTGAAGCTTACACTCAGTACTTTCTCTTTGGTTAATAGGCTTGTGTCTGAAGAAAAGCTTAGTATTTGCATGACTTTCATCTACAAATGAAAACCAAAGCTAACTTTTTCTCATTTTAAAGCAGTGCTGCTAAACACCAATGCTATTTATCTACAGAAGTGTTAGATATTTGCCTAATATTTAGTAAGCCCTACATAGTGCTACATAGTACAATATAGTGCTACAGAGGCACTGCTGTAAGTCGTGTGAGGGTATAAGAAAGGATTTCATATGCTATAAGACTACAATCATATGATTTGATTTACCAATCCAGATGGCCCCAAAATGACTGTACTTAGGAACTATTTTGCAAAATTCTTGTATATATAATTTTAATAGAAAAAACTTACCCAAATAAACTGTTTAGTATCTTTTCTCTTTTAACAAAATTGCTAATGAAATTAAAATGGCAAAAAAGTTGGGCTCTTTTTCTTGTCTGCCATTTTCCTGACCTGCAGCCACACAGGGGGAGACGGTTCTTGATAGGGAACCCGTAGCCCAAGGCAACAAAAAAGAAAGAGGAAAACAAAGAGGCCAGATAAATTATCTTCGCATAATCATGAGTTAATTACTCAAACTCATATCAGCCCCCTGGGGGGTTAACAGCTCTCTACAAAAGCTCAGTCTTACAGAAAAATAGAAATGGCATTTTGCTTCATCCGTCTGTCCCAGTGGGGGCAGTTTCGAGCTCTCCAGCTCCCCACTCTCCTTTCTTTCCTTCAAAGTAAAGAGAAAAGTCAAATTTCCAAAGAATCCTATGGTAGGCAGGTGACCTGAATGCAAACTAGGCTTTGTAGTGTATTCACACCATGGAGAGAGAGAGAGAGACAGGACAGATACTCCAGCGGTCCACAGCTTTTTAAATGGGGAAGATAGCCAGTTACTTTCAACCCTGCTAATCTCCCTTGCTTCCCTCTCCCCCACCCCTCAAAAAAAAGTCAAGCCTGGTGTCTCAGGCTTGGAATATCTCCAAAAATTACTTATTGTTGTGGAAAGAAGTTAAAAGTTAGAAAAGCCAGTAAGATGGTAGAAATTATCACTTTACCTATATTCTGTATAGACCAAAAGTCATGGAGACTTTCTGCTTGGGTTTTGACTAAATATGTTAATCTTTATCCCTTGAAATGTAAAATGAAATCTTGCAAGACTATCTTACTTTTCCCTGCCAAACATTGCAGAATCAGGAAAATGGGGAGTAAATGTGACCAAATTATAATCAAGAACAGTAATGTGCACACACGCCATCCCAGTGCCTCAGAGGCAGAGCAGGAGGATTGCAATTTTGAGTTCGCCCTGAGCTCCAAAGCAAATTCAAAGCTAGCTTTCAGTGGTTGCTTAGCACACAAAGGCCCTGTGTTAGCACCACAAAAACATAAAAAAGAAAACAGATCTGAGGGTTTTTTTCCCGTAAATTGTCTTACCGCAATATGTTGGATACCTCTTACAGTATCTGGTACATAGTGGGTGCTCAATAAATGGCAGCATTATTGTGGTTATCAATCACTCTATCACCAACCAGTGAACACTTGCACCATATGGAGTAATGAATAACAACAAGCCTAGGGAATATACCAAATCCTGGCTGTCTATCCTCCCGGTGATGGTCCATGCAATCTCCCGATGAAGGCAGGGCAGGCAAGCTGAATGAGCTTACTAAAGACTAAGGTCCTTCACAAGGAGAAAAAGGCTGAAAGGGTGGGAAAGCAGCAACCGACTTAGAGAAGAAAGATTCCCTCCCTTCTTGCGCATCACTCGAGAGAGCACAAGTCTGAATGAAGTCTGGTCAGAGTCAGGGCGGATTGTACAGAACACAAGAGCCTGGAGGAGGTGCAGGGCTTCTGTAACGTAGGGATGCCCATTTGAGTTTGAGGGGAGGTTTTGGAGTCCTTCCTGGGTATTATTGTTCACTTCTACTTTGAGATCAGAGAACAGAGTATAGAAGGCTGAAGCAGGAAGCCAGGCTTACGATTCAATAGGCAAAGCAGAGAGATCCAGAGCTAGAAGAGATGAGGCACAAGTTCTGTCAGGGAGAAAAATGCAGTAGGCTTGGCCATCTTGTACTTTTGAGGAACTGATGATGACTGATAACTAACCTCAAGTATTTTCTCAATTTTTCTTGAACATACTTAAGACTTTTTTCTTCAAACATTATTTCTAATAAAATAAAAGTAAAATTTTGAGGCTATAGTTATAACTGTAAAGTGGACTATTAAAAAATATTGGCCAGTTTAAAACAGAAACAATAAAATGTTAAACTGCCTTCTAACCCAATATCTACTTTCTCTTCCTGTGTATAAACAAATAAAAAGATAAACTTTCTATTTTATCAATTTCTAATTGATAATTCAATTTTTAAAAATTAGCACAGATGGATATGGAAATGACTTTTCTTTACCAAAATAAAATCCCTATTTTAAATCTGGATTATCATTTAGCTAGTAATCCCAAAGGAATCTAAATACTGAAGGGTTTTTTCAACAATTCACTTTTATCACCCTACACTCATGCACAAGTCAATTTTTTAAAGCAGTTTTAGGGGCTAGAGAGATGGCTCTGTGGTTAAGAGCACTGGCTGCTCTTGCAGAAGACCTAGGTTCAGTTCCCAGCACAGACAGGGCAGCTAACAACTGTCTGTAACTACGGTTCCAGGGGAATCTGATACCCTCTTCTGGCCTCCTTGGGCATTGCATGCATGTGGTGTACTTATATACATGCAGACAAAACACTCATACACATAAAATATAAATAAAAATAATTAAAAATTAAAAAAAGTTTTAAAGAATAACATAATGTCAGGAAAATGACATTAAAAAGGATAATGCCTCATAGTTCTAAAATCATCACAAACCTATGATTTTATAACAAAATAGAAAGTTATAATTCTCAAGTTTCTAATACTTTTTTCAGTTTAGCTACTTGTTTTAATTAAAAAAATTTACCCCCAAACTATTACTTATATTCTTGCTTAAGCTCAGTCATAAAAAAGATACCTACAAGTTTAATATACATAAAGACAGAGCTTACAGCAAAAGCCCCTTCTTTTCACTTTTAGAACTAAGATTCCTAAAACTTTCTGCAAGAAAAATGCATCAGTGTGATTTTTAAAATCTTATTTACCTTTACATTTATGTATTCTGTGTGTTTGCATGTACTTGGGCCACCAGTGCATATGTATAGGTCAGAGGACAATTTCTGGAAGTTGAGTCTCTCCTTCCACATGTGGTTCAGGTTATCAGGCTTAGCAGCGAGGACCTTTATCTTGCTGAACCATCTCACTGGCTAAACTATGATTTTTCTCACCTCTAAAAAGGATTAAATTGAGTTTCATTTTGATACATAAAAACTATGAGTAAGATGCAACTTAAATTACAAAATAATTAAAAATTTTAAATTTCATGAAATGAACTTTTCACAGCATGCCCTGACATTTATCATGTTGCAAGGACATGCATTACCAGTGTATGAACGAAAAAAGGAAAAATTAAATTCTGGGATGTGAGAACTAAGAAAAGATTGAAAAAGAAGCAATTTAAAAATCATTAAATGTATTAAGTATAGGAATAAGCCATTAGAGGTGACCTCCCACACACACCTCCCTGGGGAGGGGTTGAGCTATTTTCACTGCAAGCCTCAAAGAGTCCCTGGGATCTGAAGGAATAAAATACAGCTGTCATAATCTTAGCTGATAAAAAGGCTTAAAATATCTTTCAAGACTATTCAAAGCCCAAATGCAGTTTCTGAACCCGAAGAGGGAGCTAAAGAAACATTCAAATTCAGTCATTTCAAAAGCCAAGGTCTCTAAGACTGGCACGAGAGCCCCGTTTACCTGCTTGAGTCAGCTCAGCAGGAGCCAGCCTGGACAGCTGCTGTTCTGCCGTACATTGCTCAACCTAGAAATCACATTTCTTTTCACAGGGAAAATCATCACTTAGTATGATGTCTTAGGAGGCAAGGTGTCCTAGAGGCCAACACAAGCCCCACTACAAGGACTGATGCACACTAGCACTAGTGAAGGTACCAGGTGAAGGAGAGGAGGGCAGGGCATGGCATAGACAGACTCTGCATGCCTTGCTGTCTTTTTGCCCAGGAGGCATGGAACAGTATGGGAAGTGTTCAGACACGCTGTGAAGTCTTCCCTGTTTCATTATGACCACCGTGATGAGTCACACTTGTGTATTGTCTGTTAAGAAAGCTGTTAAAATTCTGGAATAAGTAAGTAATAAACATATTATTGTGTAGAAGAGTAAGCCTTAGCTACATCTAACATTAAGATTATGTAAATCCTAATTACACATAGGATTACATCAGTAATTCATTCCCAAAGGAACCTAATCATATATGCCTCTTTAGCAGAAGTCAGATACTTTAATTTGTGCTAATTCCTTGAATTTAACTGAACTGCATATTCATGTCTGAAGATGTGATGGGAGAGAAAGCGAGAGATATGTACAAGGTGTCACATAGATAGATCATAGGAAAGTAATTCTGCTCAGAGGGATGTTTTAAGACTTCAGAGAAAGGAAGTCAGAATGAGGTTTTCTTCTTAACAACATTACTGATTAAGGTGTAAGGTCCTGGGTTCAATCCCCAGCACCACCACTACCACCATCACAACAATACAACAAAAGTGCCAACTAAAATAAAGATCTTCCAAAATTTGACTGATGGGAGGAAAATGTAATTTAGCAGTCTATATATTTATCTATTAAATAATAGTATTTTCACATCTCCTAAGTCGACACAGTGAAATAGAAGACCCTTAAAAGAAGCAGTAACAGGTGATACCTGAGTAAAAATATTATGTGTTTGGCTCACAATCCACCTGGCATCAGCATCCGGTGCTACTACTAGTTTCAAGGTTCCGACGTAAACATCAGAACATAAGGTCCAGAAGTGCTGCTCCTGGAGACTGTAAACGCCCTGCAGCTGCTGCACCTGAAACACAGACAGATGTCAGCATCGCAGTAGCACCCCCTCCCACGTAAGTCACCATGCAGCAGACCACAAGCGCAGCCTCTACCCTCTAGCTAAAAAGGGATGCTTGGACCCGCAAGTTCCTATGGAGTACTACTCTGTGTTCAGGGTGGTGTCATGATGCATGCTGGGAAACAGAAGGAACCAGCACATAGCAAATTTTGTTGAGCACAACTGAGAGTACCTAGAGGGAAATTATAATTTCAAACACACTGATCAGAGAGACATAAACACATGTGATCCAAAAACCTAGAAAAAACAGAGTAGACCTGCAGAAATGAGAAGGAATAAAGATTCACAAATAACTGAACAAGTTCCTTGAAAAGATTAATAAGCCTGAGGAATATTTCCTTTTCATTATTTTATAATTTTGTTTATGTATTTATTTGTTTATTGAGAATGGGTCTCCCAGTCAATTTATTTATTTATTTATTTACAAATGGGTCTTCCAGTTACCCTGGGCCTGGAACTCACTATGTAGGCCAGGCTAGCCTCGATCTCTGTGAGACCTGCCTGCCTCTGTCTGGGCTGGGATTGAAGTCGTGCATCACAATACCCAGATCAGAATACTTCTTTTTAAATTTTTATCTTACTTGTGTGTGCACATGCTGTGATCTAAGCATTGGAGGTCAGAGGACAACTCTTTAGAGCTGTTTCTCTCCTAACTTTCGTTCAGTCCCAGGGACCACACTCAAGTTGCTGGGCTTGATGGCAAGCACCTTTACTTGCTGAGCCATCACCAAGGCTAGGGAGATGGCTCAGTGGTAAAAGTGGTTGCTCTACAAACATAAGGATGTAGGCTCAATCCCAAGCACTAACCAATTGCACCAGGTAGAGGCAGGAGGATCTCTGTGAGTTCAAGGCCAGCTTGGTCTATATAGCGAGTTCCAGGCCTGCTGGGGCTACAGGGAGACCCTGTCTTAAAAAGACCAAAAAAAAAAAAAGAATTAAAAAATAGAAAATAAAAAAAAATAAAATTGTATTCAGGCTATATAATAAGCTGTACAATACAACCATGGCTATCCCAGTTCCATTTCCAAGACATTTCATTATTTATTTGGAAATATTCTATAACACTTCTTGCCCTAGGCATGTCAGATATGGGATATTCAATCTGTATTTAGTCTATTTCAAATGGGTTCACTGACTGCCTCCTCCAGCAGAACTTAAGATCAGTAAGGTCAGAGAGGTTTAGAGAGATAGCTCAGTGGTAAAAGTGATTGCTCTGCAAACATAAGGATGTAAGCTCAATCCCTGGCACCCATGTATAAAGTCAAGTATGGCTGTACATGCCTGTAACCCCAGCACTGTGGGGGTGGAAACAGGCAGGTCCTGAGAGCGCTCTGACCAGTCAGCCTAGCTGAGATGGTGAGATTCTAGAAGGCAGTAAGGCAGAGAGCAACAGAGGACACCACATCCTACTCTGACCTCTACATGCGCAGGCACAGGCACAGACATTTGTTCACTCCTATACATGTACCACACACACACACACACACACACACACACACAAAACACACACACACACACACACACACACGTGCATGCAAATAAATAAATGAACAAATGAATAAATTAAGGCCAGGTACTGCTTTTTGCTTTATATTTTGAGTACCTAAAAAGTACCTGGCCCAAGTAAGTGCTCAGTGAATAATACATACACATGTGTGATATGTGTGATACATACACAGAGACACATACAGTTTGTCCCAAACAAAATGAACATATTTCTGAAAATAAAGAAAATGCTATTGAGAAAAAAAATAAGGAAATGAGAATGTAAAAGGACCATTACAAGCTGTTAATAACAAAGTTCTCTTTAAAAAAACAAACAAAAACAAAACCTAGTTCTAGAAGGAAAACTAAGTGCTGGAAAGATCGCTCAGTGGTTAAGAGCACTGGCTGCTCTTGCAGGGGACCTGGATTCAGTTCCCAGCACCCACATGGTCACTAATAATCATCAGTAACTACAGTTCTAGGGGATTTGATGCCCTCTTCTGGCCTCTGTAGGCATTTCACACACATGGTTCATTTACATACACACATGTAAGCAATACACTCATACACAGAAAATAATAAAATATTTTTAAAGACTATTTTTTTACACTTTTCTCATTTTCCTGTAGTCTTAATGTATGACTACACTGCATTTTAAATAATACAGAAAACAGAAACAACACAGAAAATTCTTTATTCTGTACCCACACATCCACAAGGCACACTTCTGCCTTCCTTGAGGGATGCAGCTCCCTGCTCCTTTCTACAATCGGCCCTGCCACTGGATTTGGGGTTTATGCCCCTCATCTTCTTGAGAGCTTCATTCCTTCAATACTGTGTTTTGCTCTATACCATCCCTTCTTCTCGGGCTGTTCCCATCAGTAACTGTGCTGTATGAAACAAAAATCACTGGATACATGTGGCTATTGAAATGAAAATTAAAAATTAAAAATCAAGTATACTAGTCATAGGTGGCTTGTGGTTTCTACATTGAATCATTAGATTATAGAACATTTATATTACTGGAGAAAATTCTATGGGGTAATGCTGCTCTAAAAATCCTATTAATTTTTTTTTTTTTTTTTTTTTTTTTTTTTTAGTCAGGTATGGTGGGGCATGTTTTTAAGCCCAGAACTTGGAAGGCACAGACCAGAAGATCTCTTCTGAGTTTGAGGCCAGTCTCCTCTATATAGTGAGTTCCAGGTCAGCTAGGGCTACATACTAAGACCCTGCCTCAAAAAAAATATACTACATTTATTTAGTTATTTTGTGTATGACTGTGCATGTATGTGTGTTTTTGAGTATGTGTGTGGGCTCATGCACGAGTGAGAAGGTCAGAGGACAACTTCAGGAGGCCACTGTCTCCCTCCATGTGGGTCTTGGGGATGGAACTCAGGCTGTTAGGCTTGGGGGCAAGCAGCTTTACCCCCTGAGCCATCTTGCTGACCTTAAAAGTCATTACATCTGAATCTAGACTATGAATTCATTACTCTACTCCCTTTAAGAATACTTACAGGAGTTGCCTGAGGACACTGTCTCTACTTCCCAAATTCATTTTCTTCTTAATCTACTCATGCTGTCCTTTCTAACATACCACTGAAATCACTCTCTTTGAGGTCATCAATGATGTTCATGACACCAGACAAGGATTACTTCTCTGTTCCTGCCATATGTGCCCCCCATAAAATATTCAGTGCAGCAGACTAAATCCTTTCTCCTCCACCAGCTCTCTGAAGCCACACTTCTGACTTTGCAGCTCCCTTACCTTCTTTTCTGGCTTTTCCATCTGCGCTCTAAGTCTGGAGGTGAAAACAGCCAGAACTGAATCCTCTCCCAGCCATCGCATGCAATCTAATGTTCCCGATGTCCTTCATATGATAACGTCCCTCCACCCCTTAGGCTGGGGACCTAATCCAGGCCCTTTTTATTCCTAATCTGTGTCCCAAATTCTAGATTTGCTACTCAGTTGGCATTCCCCCCAAATGAATAATGGACATTTCAACTTTATTATAAACAGAGCCCTTACTTTAGAATAATTTTCCATCCTCAAACATTTACCAATCTAACCACAACCTCAGTAAATAGCACTACCATAGACCAAGTGTTTTACTCTTCATGAACATAATCTACCTCCAAAAATATGTCCAAGTGTGTATTTGCCTTTATCTCTGTTGTCGCCTTGACTACCTTTTCCCACTTAGATGTCAACAGCCTCATAACTAGTTGTCTTTTTCCTCAAACTTGTTTTCTACAGAGAATAACCTTTTAAAAACATACAATTCAGGACATTCCCACTGCCCAAAAGCTCTCCAGGGCTCCCCACTGAATGACAGTGAAGCCTAAGCCTCTTACTGCAATCAGGACCTAAGATCTGATCTCTGCTTCTCCCCAACCTTTCAATCACTTTTCCCTTCATGTTTTCATGCTGCAGCCACAAGGCCTGTTTTGCTAATCTTCAAATACACTAATCAACTCCAGCCATAGCAGCTTCACATTAGTGGTTTTCTTTGCCTAGAACATTCCTCTAGAGGATCTGGGCAGGGTTAGACCCTTCCTATCAAAGTTTCAAATACTTGAACATGACTTCCTCGCTGAATTTGATCGTGCCATCCACGTCTATCCCATACTTTGTTTCACTTCTCACAGTAATCATTACTGATATTTTCTTGATCATTTAACATCTGCTATGTTTCCCCACTAGAATGTGAACTCCATGAGAACAGAGGCAAGGTCTTTGTTTACCATTATGTCTCTAGTATCTTAGAAGAGAATGTGATACATAGTAGGAGCTATAAAACAAACAGAAAATACATTACAGGGCTGCAGAAATGGCTCAGTGGTTAAGAGTACTTGCTCCTCTTGCAGAGAACTGGAGCTTGTTTCCCAGCACCCATGTGAGGAGGCTTATGACCATCTATAACTGCAGCTCCAGGGGATCCAACACCCTCTTCAGATCTTCATGGGCACCTGTATGTGCGCACACACACACGGATGCATTTTTTTTTTAGTTCACATAAATAATAACTTTTTTTTTTTTTTTTTTGTCTTTTTGAGACAGGGTCTCCCTGTAGCCCCAACTGACCTGAACTCACTATGTAGACCAGGCTGGCCTTGAACTCACAAAGATCCGCCTGCCTCTACCTCCCAAGTGCTGGGACTAAAGGCGTGCGCCACTATACCCGGCATAACTTTTTTAAAGAATACAGGTTCTTGTGGTATAATATTGGGGCTTGGTGCATTGGCTCAGTGGATAAGAGCACTTGCTACTCTTCAGAAGACCCAAATTCAGTTCTTAGCAGCCATGTTTAACAGTTCACAACCACCTGTAACTCCACTTCCAGGGAATCAGATGCCCTCTTCTGACTTCTGCAGGAACCTACACACATGTGGCACATATACCCATATACATAAATAAAAATAAACCTTTTAAAAAAATATACTGAACACATAATTATTTCATCCACTATTCACATTTTTTTAAGCTAAATTTCTGGATAAGGACAATTTCTACATCTTCTTTAAAGTTCAATATTTCCCAATATTTTACTCTGGTTTGTGTGAGTGACTTTCATGGTCAGCATTCAATCTTGGGAAAAACATTAAATTATAGACACATGCTCCCCACACTTACGAAAGCAGAAAACCCTAACAGTTTGAAAACAACATAAAATCCAGTGGTTTGAGATCTTTTGAAACTTACCCTCTGGTAGCACTGGGGAAGGGCACCTTCCAACAGAGGAGGTGTTCTCTGCATCAGTATTCCGATAGACTCTCTTAAAAGAGGAATAACACTAAGGAAAAACAAAGAACCTGTTAAAGCCACATTCTGACAATCCCCTTCTGCACAAGAGCAATAATATCCTTCACTACAGAACAGAGTAAGATTTAGCAGAATTTCAGCAAGAAGGATCTACTGGTCATTGTTCCAAATCTCTCATAGAATCAGTAAGTTATGCTCTAAACTAAAAAGGCTGGAGGAAATACATTAATCAATGTATCAGATGATTCATCCAGTATTTCTTTTTTCACAAAGTATTTGTTTTAATTTTATGTATATGAGTTGGCTGTCTACATGTAGGCACGTATGTAAGTGCACCTCATGTATGCACATCTAGTATTTCTTAACCTGGTTATTTATCAGTCGTTTAAATTTTTTTCTTTATGTATATGTGTCTTCATGTATGTATGCACACACGTGTGCGGGTACCCACAGAGGTCAGAAAAGGTCAATCAATCCCCTGTAGCTGTAGTTACAGAGAGTTGTGACCTACCCAGTGTGGGTGCTGGAAACTGAATTTGGTCTTCTGCAAGAGCAGCAAGTGCTCTTAACTGCTGAGCCACTGTTCAGCCCTACAAATTATATTTTATTATTTAAGGAGTTGAGAAGCCTGGCTATTCTCACATACATAATAAATTCAGCAAATCCAGGGATGGAGCCCAAAGGTTAGTGTGTGTTGATGTAGGTAGTCTTCCGTCTACTGTTTTAGGTTGTTTGGATGATTATGTGTGCACAAAACAACAGCTGGTAAGAGTGACTCCAATGCAATGACCTAAGCTGGCTAGATACTACATTTACTTTAGAGCTTATTTTGCTTTTATTTCCAACATACTAAATCAGAATATCTGAAGGAGGGTCCAGACATCTATGTGTTTACAAAGCACTCCAAATGATCCTAACGCACCCAAGAGTGACACATTCTCTATGGCTGACTCTAGACTGAAAGAGGAGGTCAGAAATAGCTTCGCTGCCCTTAACAACTTAAGCCAGAGCTCAATTTTAAGCTTACATAATCTCTAAATGTCAGAAGTAAAATTCTCTTGGTATAATAGTTATAGGAGGTAGAGATCACAGAAATACATACCTGTGATCTCATAGAAAGTCTCACAGAAGAGTGGAGGAAGAACTGTACCTTGATGATGGGTGGTGTTTGTGACAGAAGGAAAGAGGAAACTCTAAACAGACTAAAGGGAATGGGGCCCATGTCTTGCTCACCATCACATTCCCAAGGAGGCCTAGGAAAGTTCTGGTCACAAAGTACGCCCATTGATAAATTAGGTTGAATGACTGAAAGATACAGGTATCAGGCATTTTAGAATCTAAATTAAAGAAAAGGATACAGGAAAGGAATTAGGAGTCTGTTCCCATACTGTCAGTACAGAGTGATTTTTGGATAAAGAAGGGTAACCATAGAAACAAAGACAGAAGAGAATTAAACATACAGAAATAACTGATTTCTAACAATATAGTAAAAGACACAGTCACTGTCACATTAAGGACAAACCTAGATTACTAAAGAGAGGAGACAAGCAAAAATGAAGACAGTTTGGTGTGGACAGGAGACTCAGTCACATCTCAGTAGAAATAGTCATTGAGTCAGAGATAGTGATTTAAGAGCCAAGCATAATTAAATACTATCCTTGATTCTTTCTTAACCCTTATCACTGTCATACTCCAAATCAATAAGTTGTCATGATGTTACATTCAAGGTATTTCTTAACTCCTTCAACCTACACATCTACGGCAATTTCCAATCCTAAGGCCTCCTAAGTGTTCCTTGGCATCTAATCTTACATCCTCAAGTCCATTTGTTAGGTTGCTTCAAAGACGGCTCCCAAGGGCTTCTTAGGATTCATGTTCGTGTGCAGTCTCCCCTCTTAAGCATCAGGCCTAAAGACTGGCTACTAATGAACAGAGTATGACAAAAGTGGTGAAATATCACTTTCTGATTAGCTGAAAGACTGGCTGCTGACTTCCTCTTTCCCTCTCATTGGCTACCTCACAGCTGCTATGTTGTGAGCTGTTTTATACTGGAGCCCATGGGGAAGAGATGGAGGTGCACCTCTGGAGAGGAACTAGTCCAATTCCCTATCACCCAGAGAATAGGAGACTGTTAGCAACTGCTTCAGTGAGGCTGGAAGTGAATTCTCCCCTCGGAAAACCCTTGGAATGACAGCAACCCTGGATGACAACTTGATTACTGCCTTGTGAGACCCTGAACCACAGGTCTCAGTAACCCATGCCCATAGCCTCCTTAATCCCAGAGAGCAAAGATTAAGAATGCATGTTATTTTAGGTACTAGGTTTTTGTGTGATTTGTTATATACTTGTATATGACATCATTTTCTATAGAACTATGTAAAACAAGCACTTGGCCTGATCCTTTCCTTATTAAAAGCTGAGTCAAAAGCTCCTGACTTCCTAAGGGATGAAGTATAAGCCCTTTAACATGACACTGTTTTTTGTCTCTGGTCCCCTCTATTTCCTCTCAATTCCTGCTTCACACTGCAAGCTCTTCAACCACAGCATGCCTGGACTTCTCTTTCATGTGTTGGCTAATGCTATCATTGTGACCTAGAATATTCTGAAATAGGCCTTTTTTCTGGCTTCTGCTTCTTTAAAATTCAAGTCTCACCTCTTTTGGGGTATATTTCCCAATCATAAATTGTCCTCTAAACTATGAAGTGTCCTTATAAAAAAAATTAATGCTGGGAGGTGTGGTGACACACACCTAAAACCACAGCACTCAGGAGGCTGAGGAAGAAGAATCTTGAGTTTGAAGCCAGCTTGGGATACCTAGCAAGACCCTGTCTCAAAAAAAATGGGGGGGGGGATCAACGGTAGTTATGGGATTATCACATTGCAAAATTATCTGGTTGTTTTTCTCTCCGTGACACTGAAAACTACTTAAAGATATGGATTGTGACTTCTGATTGCGCCTCCAGCATCTAGTGTTGCACACAAAAATATATACAGAATAGAATTTACAGCTGATTCTACGGAACAAAATTAATCCAAGAAGTAAATCTTTTCACATGCATGGAATTCCTATCAGGAAAGAGCACTGAGAGCAGCAGAAACCGAGCAAGTGAGCACGGGGGACAGAAAAGGCGTCGCCAGCAGCAAGAAACATTACAACGAAGGAGGGAAAATACAAACAGAAAGGCCATTATCTCTAACAGTAGAAGACCGTTTGAGGCTTTCTACTAGACAGTTTCAGGAGGAGCAAAAGCTAGGGCAGAGAAGGCTTGAGAAAATCAAGTAGAGGTGGAGGTAACGAGTAGAGCCTGTTTCTATCTACTGTGCTGCTACGAACACTCCTGGGGTGGGTGGGGGGGATAGAAATCATGACAGTGATGAGAAGCTACAATTCATCCATTAGGTTTTTCTTTCTTCCATTCTCATTTCTCAAGAAAAAGAAAAAATAAGTTACAAAAGGTTTTACACACTGAACTTAAAGGGTCACTGTTACCTTTACTGATTTCCCAATCCTAAGAAAATTGTAATGGTTGTTCCCTTAGGTAAATTTAAAGTATTTATTCTGAGCCACAGCAAGTTCTTCACCAAAGCAGAAGGATATGCCACACTTATTTGCCCAACAAGAATTTTAAAATGATGTAATAATTTCAGCTGTATGAGATACAGTAAAATATGAAACTGCTGGGGTGGAGGGAGTTCTTGCTCAATCACAAGGTAGATACGCAACTGAGAACCAGGGTCAATTTCTATAATAATTTCAAAGTTCATAAAAACGTAAAAGAAATTTGTAGCAACTCCAGCTTTTGCCTTTTAAAATTGTGTTTAGCTCAGGAGTTTCTGTCCAGATTTTTCTGATTAACTATCATAATGAGGATTCATAAAACAGATCTTAGCATGGATCTATCTAACCATAATGAAAGGATATGGAGAAAAAGACAAGCTTAGCAAATTCCTGACTGAGCTAAGACAGAGCTGTATCCAAACCAGCCGTAAAAGTGAGCATTTGGAAGCAATTAGAGGTTCACTTCTGGTTGACTAACTCAATTCTAGTTTTCACAATGAAATGCTAGTTTCCTATCATAGATGAAAAGAAATGAATCATTAGTTATGAGTTTACCAATAAAACAAGGTAAAAACAAGTCTCTATTCTTCCAAAGCTGAACATTAACCTATAATCATACAATAAACATAATATTAGTTTGAACATTTAACTTTAAACATGAACAGACTAAATAAGCAATGGTTATTATTCTTTACTGCAAGCAACTTTGCAAATGAAAACATATTTAAGTTTTACTTCACAGACAGCTTGTAGGGGAATAGCCTCACCATACTTCAACAATTAATAAAGTAATCTAGCAGCAATTATAAATAAACAATGGTGTTGGAAATGGAGAGATGGCTCAGCAGTTAAGAGCGCTTGCTGCTCTTGCAAGGGACCCTAGTTCAGTCCCTAGCAACCCTGTCAGGCAGCTCACAACTGCTTTTAACTGCAACTCTAGTGGATCTGATACCCTTTTCTGGTCTCTGCAGGCACCTGCATGTGAATATGTGCATATTCACACAGGCACATATACATCTATAAATATAGTTTTTAAAAGGTGTACACAATATGGGAACATGAACAATCATGCTTAACTTAAAAATTCAGAGTTAAACTACTTAGATCTGAAAATAAGTATCTGGTAACAAAGCTACTGATTCAACCTTATAAAATGGTTTAGTAGTAAATTCTTCCTCATTATCAGGGGTTCTTAGAATCTGTCAACATGAAGAGAAAAAGAATGTACTTTTAAAATAATGTAAATTTCTAGTATAGGCCATCTACAATTTTTTAAAGTTTTTATGTGTATGCATGACTGCCTGCATATATGTATGTGTACTATATGCATGCCTGGTGTCCAAGGAGACCAGAAGAGGGCATTGGATTCCCCGAAAGTGAAGTTACAGGTAGTTGTAAGTTGCCATGTGAGTGCTGGGAACAAACCTGGGTCCTCTGCAAGAGCAGCAAGTGCTTTTAACCATTGAGCCATC